CTGTGAATGACACAATGAATTGTGAATGACACAATTTACTGTAGCATTCAATTGGTTTCCTGGTGTGTTTCAGTGAAACAGTTTCTGCACAAGTACAGGATTGGTTTATCACTGACGCTTCCTGCTCCCCTCTGGTTAAATGTGTCAGCCTGACCCCAAAACCAATTCTGAAAGACAAGATGTTCTTTTGAAATATCTAAAAGATAGCAAGGAAAAACTGCCAGACCTTGTGTCATCCTTGATCTGAACTGAAAAGTACATGGCTGTTCTGCTCCTCAGACAAGAGAGCACATTTGCAGCCAGTAAAATGCTATTTCTAAATCTCAGTGACATGTCTGAACTTAAACATCTACACACTGAGATGAGATGATGTTTTAGCAGATATAAACACACTAAAGATAGAACCAAAGCAAAAATGTGCTGATGTACATTATAGTAGTTATTTGAGATAATTAGTGGAATTTCAAGGCTTAAGTGTCTGGTTATGGCAGATACTGTTGTCTTCTATCTAAGTGAAAGCTACTAAAAGCATCTTAGCCATAACATCGTGCCAAGAAATACAGAGCAAAGGGAGGAAAACAAATTGATCTCAGCTTGGTTTGTGCAAACATACAATAAAGAACATGAACAAAGGTCTGGACTTGGTTATGTCAACACATTTTGTGTATTAAAACATAGCATGTTTTTTTCAATAACACTGCATAATGAAACATAAAGATGCAGATTTTCTTTGGAGTACTTACCTTTGTCCCATTAGTGCCTGAAGACCCTATGATGGGTCAGAGAGCCCTGTAAAACCAGGTGCTGGTCAGTAAGAAACCCAGCTCTGTTTTAAATGGCTTACAGATAAAGAAGGAAAGAGTAATTTTTCCATTCTGTAGCTAAAAATCCAGGGTGCCTCAATGAACTCTTCAAGGTGTCTGTCTATACCTCAAAATAAAAACTCTGAATGTTCTTGTGTTGGTTTTAAGTACTTTTTCCCCCTGGCATTGGTTAAACTGAAATAGTCGCTTTCTATTTTCTTATGAGATCTTTTTTTTGGTCCTTAATGCAGTGTACAGTGGTTGACTGGCCCTGCAGTGGTGGATGGGGAGCTGGAGTTCTCAAGTGTGTGCAGGTTCCCTGTACTTATGTAATTTCCTTTAGCCTGTGCACGGTAAAGGGCAAATCTCGTGGGTTTTGGTGTAAACGATCCCTCGAGGCAAAATAAGAGTATGTGAATATAAACACAAAGAGCAGCCAGTGCCAGGCCCTCGGCAGCTTTGAATCCCTTCCCACAACAGTAGTTTAAAACTGTGGAAGCCTCTCCCTTCACGCATTTGCCTACGTTTTGACATTGAGAATCCCTCAATACTTTTTAATAACGTAAAATTTTAAAATTATTTAATTAAATGCAGGTGCGGGGTACGGGCTCGGCGAACCCCTCACTCGGAGATACTCCATGTGGCGAGCTGAAAGCTGCGGGGGATCTCTGCGGGGCTGGGTTTTGCTCTTTGTTCGCTGCTGAGTGACTCCCCGCTCCCGGGAACCCTCTTGCAGCCGGGGGGGGTGGGGGGGGGGAAGGCGTTGGGGGTGTTAATTATTTTACCTCTTTGAAGCCCCAA